GTAAGGGTTGTGTAGCACTCAAAGCTTTGAAGCAAGAGTGTTTGAATGTTCCTTGACTAAAGCTGTGAAGCAGAGTCAAGTTAGTTGTGTACATCACTCAAAGCTGTGAAGCACGAGTGATTGTGTTGCTTGATTAAAAAGCTGTGAAGCTTAATCAAGTGTGTGTTTTTTGAAGAGTGTCTTCATCAATTATTAAGTCAAAATTGGTTTATGTATCACTGTTGTGATTGAGGGGGAGTGAGTAGGAACTCAGGTTTAAGTTGTACTTAGATTAGAATTGCATTGGGCAGGTCTTAAGTGAAGGAGATAAACTGGTTGGTTTATTCCTGAATTAACATCTCTTATAGTGGATTCTCTCCCTGGCTTGGTAGCCCCCAGAGTAGGTGTTGTTGCACACTGAACTGGGTAAACAATTGACTGTGTTCTTTATTGCTTTTGTATTTACTGTCATATAGTAAGTCAGATACGGTGTCATAACATTGAACGTGACATTGAGTATCTGCAGCCAGAATTTCAACCATTGTTATCACGGTCTATACGATGACCCGCGCCTGACCTATTTAACATCCTAACACAAGGTTGTTCACCAAACACAATGGTGAAACAACACTGTTAAAAGGGTTAAAAAACATAAGAAAGATCTTTGGGTAAAAATAGGGTAGATAACTCTTAGTTACTTGGTCAAAGCTTGCAAAAACATCCTTGCTATCTTCAAAACACACTTCACAACACAATTTCAAAACCCTACTTTCAAACATTGGAAACTTTTCAAAAGACAAAAACACCTTTGTATACATTCAAACAAGAATCATTACAAAGGTTGCCACAACGATGGCCTCTTTTCAAAACATCTTTCAAAATCACACACAAAGCACTATTTCAAACAATTGAAGAGCACCATTTCAAACAATTGAAAAGCAAAGCAAGTGATCTAAGCAAGTAACTAAGAGCCCATGGATAACCATGGATAGAAAGGGTGCTAATACTTTCCCTTTCTATAATCTACTCCCCGAACCCAAGAAAACATCTCAAAGGTCTTTCCTGTGCTTTTTGACCTTTCCTTAGGATAAAATAAAAAGTCGGTGGCGACTCTTGCTAAACCGAAACATTTGCGAACACAAACGCAAAATCCCAAGTCAGTTCTCCCACCGTATCACACCATGTTACGGAGCATGATTAACTGTATGATGTTTGTTTTTATGAAGTGTGACACCCTTTTTGGTGAATATTTTATTTAAAATGAATCATTATTTTCGTGGGGTTTTAGAAGGGTGTTACAGTGGTTCTATCACAATGTCAGTCTTCTTAAGTTTCAAGGGGTTAGGAGGTGTTTTTTGAGAAACATTAAATAATAACGAGAATGTTAAAGCAAAGAAGTTTGGAATTTATTTGTAAAATCAATTTGTCATTTGGAGAAGCACCTTTGATTCTATCTTTTTGATGAGGTTTTCTTGAATTGTCTTTTCGCTGGCGGTTATGGTTTTAGTAGCAACCTCTTTGATATGTCTTTTTCGATCAATCGCTGAAAAGAAGCAATAAAATAAAGATTGGTTAAAATAAAAAGCATGAAAGAAGAAGTGAACTCAATAAAAGATGAAGGGAGCCTTCATATTCCTCACCTTCATGTATTGGGAATAATATCTTGACATATTCTATATCGACATGAAGGTGTCCTTGGAAACTGTGTAAGTCATGTTTAGTCGGAACCACCACTTGAGCTGGTTTTAAACTTTCATTTTGTAAAACTTCATGAAATAACTTGTATTCCTCACCTTCATGAAGGGGCTGTTGACGGTGTGAAGTTATGTCATTTGGAAAACATCATGATATAACTTATGAAGGTTTTTGGTAAGCTACGTCTAACATCTGTCGGAGTAAGTAGAGCTAGTCGAGAACCTTTGACCCTTATCTGTTTGATGGCTTCATCATTTTCATTAAGTTTGTCTATTTGGGGCGAATTCAAAAGTGGCATTTAGCCACGATTGGAGTAACCAATAAGAACTAGCCAGTAGAAAATTAGTTCCTGATTGATAAGCTTTCATGAGTTTGACAACTTCTCCTAGAGTCTCATAAAGAGAACCTAATATTAGACGACTTAGGAAAATATTATGGCCTTCGAGTAGCTGATTTGCTAAAGTTAGAAACCTCTTTGTGACTTTCAGCGATTTGCAACAAAAAATGCAACGCGACAGCCAGAGGGCTAGAAAAGCTATGTGTTTTGTGTCAAAAACATCCTCACTTTCTTTATCGTGATGATCAACCATGTAGTGCACAAAGCTGGACCGGTCGGTGCTAATGTTAATGGTATCTTCATTCCCTTCATTGGGGTCAAAGTCCCTTTTAGTTGGTCGAAGACCCGTGATAGCTTCAATGTCAAAGAGGGTTGGGTGATCATGCCACAGGGAAGCTAGAAGGTGTTCGTAGTACTTTCCCATAAGTATAATGATGCGACCAACATATTTTGGCAATATGCTATACCTACTTTTGACAATTGGATTAGGTCAAAGATTCCCATTTCCTTCTAGGTTTTCAATTTCTTCTTTTCTACTTTCTCCAGCCATGCCATATGGTTTTCAAGGTCTTTAAATAATGGACAAGAGTGAAACACTCATAATTTATTGCTCATGTAGTTTAGGTTAATGAGATTGACGATTTCAACCATGTCGACATTTTTTGACTCTGAAGCATCCGTTGAGGTTTTATTTTGAGGATTCTTCGTCTCATTGATGGATACAACCTTAGAGTCTTTTTGAATCTCAGTTTGGATTTTAGAGCCATCACTCTTAGCCGTGGGTTTCTTTGTAGCCAGCAGTTTAGTTAAGTGATAAGTAGGAAAAGTCTTTTACTTTATCAGCATTTGCTTTAGGGTCAAGCAAAGGATCCATACGCGCGTGAGTTTCTCCAAAAATAAGATAAGAGACGATTACCTGAGATTGATAAATGCAGTGTTTTTCCTCTAGCAAGGGAGGTTCAGGAACATACTATTGATTTCTAGAAATAAGAGGACCTAGAATCTTGTTAGCGGGTGGCAAAGTTGTCTTTGAGCTTTTTGTAGTTTTGCTGCTCTTGGATTTTGAAGCTACCATGGTTAAAAGTAAGAGATTTGAGGTTCAGAAGTTCTTTTTGTTTTCTGGAAATGGAAAAAAGATGAAGAGAAAACGAGGATTAATGAAGGAGAAGAAAAGAAAATATGAAAGAGAAAGGAGTATTTATAGTAGAAATTGAAGAAACTATTTAGTTTTTGAATGTGACAAGTGTTTGATGATCGCGGGACACGTGTCGATCTTATGAAGTGAGATCTGACAGTTGATTTTACAAGGGCCCGTGTTTCTCCTAGGGAGTAGGAGTTAACATTGTTGTTCAAAGCTATTGCACATCTCAAGAAGACATTTGGGTAAAGTGGCCATAATAGGCCATGGCGTTAGAATAATGATAATCACGAGACGTCAAAATGTTCGAAAAATGTCCCTTTTTCTCCTATTAGTCGAAAATGACATTTTTTGGGGGGCAATTTGTTAGCTGGATTTTTTGACGTGTTGTCATTTTTTCAAGGTGATCAAGGGAGCATGAGATAAGCTTGGATGTTTTAGTTGTTTTCGACAAATCTGAGGAAGGTGTTTTTCGAAAACAAAATGTTGATGTCCCTACATGTACATTATTTTGGGACTTAGTGAATTTTGAGATTTGGTTTGGATGTTATTTCGACCGCGAAAGTTTGAATTTCAAAAGTAGGTTGGAGTAACTATTTTTAGCCTTATCCACTTTTGAAGACGCGTGGAAGTAAATCGAAGATGGGATACATGCAAGTGACAACGTGTCAGATTCGGAAGGAAAGGGTGTCAGAGACACTTATTTCGATTTTAGTATAAAAATGGGTTCTAGTTGTTAGATTTCTGTGTGTTCAAATGTATACAAAACTCATAATACTCAAAGTATCTAGCGAATTGAGAAAAAAAGTCAAAACTAAGTGAAATGTACGTATTGAAACACCACTTTCATTTAAAGCAAAATTATGTTCTTTAAGTTATTTTCTTGCACTTTTATCTTTATGTCAAATTCTTTTATATTCATCTTCTCCCTTCAAATCATTTTCATATTCTGTTGAAGTTTCGATTAGTATCGAAATCTTCATTATATCAATTATAAAACAACTTAGGAAATTTTATACACATATGTCCTAGGATCAATCTAGTTGATCCTACAAGCAATCAAATAATTATTTGGAGGACTAGCGGTTGTTTACGAAATTTCACAGCAAATAGATACACTCGAGTATTTTTCGTGCCGCGACACATACTTCATGTAACAATTAACATAAAAAAAAAACTTCAAAATTGTTACTAACTTGAATCTCCCATTCTTGATAAAATAGAATTTCGATAAAAAAAATGTTTCCAAACTCTTAAATAACACACCCTCAAATATGTTCTCATCGTCAGTGCACCAATAACATCAAATCTAATTATTCGCCCAATGTCTTAAAGGCGAGGATGAAGATGAAAAAAGAGAAGATAGAAGAAGATGAAGAAATGTAAAAAAAAACAACAGGTATTGGTGGTTCATTGTTAGATTCAATACTTTCAATGTTGAACTGTTTGATATTTTTTAATCAGATCGAATAATTAAATTTTAAAATAATAATAATATATATGATGGATACTCGATAATATTGACCCACCTTAAATAATAAAATAATTAATTTAAAAAAAAATTAAAACTAACATTTATTAACTAAAGCACAAAATTGAAATTATAAATTAAATTAAAGGTCTAATTAAACCTAAAAAAATTGGTTTATTCATCTAAAGCTAATTTGACTCTTAACCACCATTCTTTTATTATATTGTACTAATTATAGACTAATAAAATTATCATAATCTTCTAACCAACCATAGGAAGAGAAGCACAAAGCTTGTTTTTTCCCTTCCTAGTTGATAAGTAGAAGCAGAATCTTCAATCAATCAATATCAGTACTAAAAGTTAAAAAAAAAAAAAAAATCATGGAGAGTAAGAAACAAGATGAAGATGTTGAAGAACCACTACTCACTAACACCGGTAGTTCATCTTCTCACAAACCATCTCTCATTCAAAGTCTCATCTCCGCCATGTCTCTCATCACAGCCATCACCTTCGCCGTCCTCTTCTTCTCTCTCCCCTCACCAACCAAATCCACCACCCGTCCCCTCCGTAAACTCCCCCACCCCGTCGTCATCCTCATTTCCTCCGACGGCTTCCGTTTCGGCTACCAATTCAAAACCCTAACCCCAAACATCCACCGTCTCATCAACAACGGCACCGAAGCTCAAACCGGCCTCATCCCCGTTTTCCCAACGCTAACTTTCCCTAACCATTACTCCATCGTCACAGGTCTCTACCCTCCCCACCACGGCATCATCAATAATTTCTTCACCGATCCGATCACCGGCGATAAATTCACCATGGCAAGCCACGAGTCTAAATGGTGGTTAGGTCAACCTCTATGGGAAACCCTTGCAAACCACGGTTTAACCGCTGCTACGTACTTTTGGCCTGGCTCTGAGGTGAAAAAAGGCTTGTGGACTTGTCCTGAACAGTTTTGTAAACATTATAATGGTTCTGTTGATTTTGAAGATAGAGTTGATTCTGTTTTGGAGTATTTTGATTTGCCACTTCATGACATTCCTGTTTTTATGACTCTTTATTTCGAGGACCCCGATCATCAAGGTCATCGAGTTGGACCCGATGATGATGAGGTTACTGATGCTGTTTCTAGAATTGATTCTGTTATTGGGAGGCTTATTAATGGGTTGGAACAAAAAGGGTTTTTTGAGGATGTTACTATTATAATGGTTGGTGATCATGGTATGGTTGGTACTTGTGATCAAAAGCTTGTTTTTTTAGATGATTTAGCTCCTTGGGTTAAGATTCAACAGAGTTGGGTTCATTCGTATACGCCCTTGCTTGCGATTTGGCCGACGGGTAATTATTCGTCGAGAGATGTTGCTGTTAAGATGAATCAAGGATTGAGTTCCGGGCAAGTTGAAAATGGGAATAAGTTGAAGGTGTTTCTGAAGGAAGATTTGCCTTGGAGACTTCATTATGCGGATAGTGATAGGATTCCGCCGATTATTGGATTGGTTCATGAGGGTTATAAGGTTGAGATGAGTAGGACGGGGAAGAAAGAGTGTGGCGGTGCTCATGGTTATGATAATGCCTATTTCTCGATGAGGACTATTTTTATTGGGCATGGTCCTCAATTTGCTAGAGGGAAGAAGATACCTTCGTTTGAGAATGTTGAGATTTATAACTTGATTACTTCTATACTCAACATAAAGGGGGCGCCTAATAACGGGTCTGATGCGTTTCCAAAGTCCGTTCTTCTACCAAATGCTTAATATGAGACTCGAAATCTGGTGCTTCTGAGCTGCTTATGCTTGACAGTATGTTTCTTATTCTCTATAAATTTACTGATGCTCAGAAATGTGAAACATGATTGAGGAGATGTTGCAGGAAGAATAGGTATCATATACCTGGATTCTTTTAGTTCTAGCCTCTTGCATTCATTAAACTATTTTCACTATAAATTTGCTTTAACATTTTGTATCTGTTGATGGATAAAGAATAGGTGTCATATACATGTATTCTTTTAGGATTATGTCTTGGATCATCTGTGTTGTATTAGGCATTGCCTTTTGGAAATTAAACGTAGGAATCAATTGATGCATGAATTGGAAACTTCTATTTGCTTGCATGAAGAAGTTGGATTTCCATGTCATTTTCATAAAATCAGTACTACCCTGAAAATAAATTTTAAAAACTTCAAACAAACGCCTCCTATAGTTAGTTTAATTGTAATGACTATTGAGTACACGTGAAGAATCAAATTGCAGTTGTTTCCTTTTGATTCTTATTTGCCCTTTCATTTGCTTCAATGCATAGAAGTAAGTACCCACGACAAAAAACTGCGAGGCCACAAAAATCCAAAATGACACTTTCCCCCCCTGAAGTTGTCGGTGGAATATTACAAGCAATTTGGTCGATTATAGTTAGTTAACTTGTGTTATTAAGGAGTAATATTCAATTAGAAATGAGTTATTTAATTATAAAATGAATAATAATAATAATAGAAATTTAATTTGAATATTTGAAAATAAGAAATTTGTATCTTAAATAAAGATAATTATTAATTAAAATAAAATAGTTATTTTATTGATAATGCTCCGTGAGAAAATAGAAATTTTGATTTTTAAAAATAAAGATTTTGTGTTTCAAATAAAGATAATTGTTAATTAAAATAAAATTGGTATTTTGTTGATAGTTCTCTGAGAAAAATAGAAATATTGACATTTGAAAATAAGAATTTTATGTCTCAAATAAATATAATGTTAATTGAAATAAAATAGGTATTTTAGTGACAATGATCGTTAATAAAAGTTGCAATTTTGACATTTGAAAATAATTTTTGTAATAATTATGAATAATTTTGATATATGAAAATAATTTTTTTAATAATTATGTTAATTCAATTTATTAATTTATTTATGTTTAGAAAAATAAAAAATAAAAGAGAAAATTGAGAGAGAGAAAATGAAAATGAAAATATTGGAAAAAAATGTATGAGAGAGAAAAATAAGTAGAAATGAAATGAAAAATAAATGTGGAGATTGAAGTGAGATAGAATAAGAATTGAAAAAATAAAAGTGGTTTTGTATTTTTAAGTGTCACATTTGATTGAATAAAGAGTGTGAATTTATTGATCTTTATGTAAATACTTATATATTCTTTTGATAGTGTAAAAAGGAATGACATCTTTTTGATAACACGTGTGTCACTCCATGTGGATTAAAGGAATGACCCTGTTGCAGAAACAACAAACTCTACAATATAGGATTCCAAATTTAAGAGGGGCCTCTAAATTTTAAAATGTCTACTTTTAATAAATATAAAAAATATTATAAGAAATCCAATAAGTTAAAAAATTGTTATGATAAAAATCTAATATATTAATAAAATAAAATTTCAAAGTTAAAATAATTATAATTAAATCTTTTTTTATTAATATATAATTATATTTTTTATATGTTATTTTTAATTATTATAATTGTATATATTTTTTTTCAAATTTAGACTTATTTTTTAAATTTAAACGGGACTTCCAATTTAATTGAGTCGGCCGTGCAAAATAGAAAGAAACGGGAAAATTGAGTAGAATAAACAGTGAAATATAGTCTAAATTTCATTGTTTCGATGCATACATTATGGCGAAACATTTAAATTTTTTTAAACAGAGAAATTTATTATACTTCATTCAAAGAGCTCTATTCTATCACATTTAGTTCATTCTAATAAAAGCTTTAGACTTTGTTTGAGAATTTGAAGGGTATGAGAAGGAAAGACTTTTGAAAATGAATTTTTTAAAAAATATAAGAAATTATTTGATATTTTGTATCAAATGATAAAAGAGTGTTTATTATTACTATATTTTTTAATTTTTAGAATGCTATAATAACATAAAAAATATTTAATAATTTATCTAAATACTCCATACCCTCATTCAATATTAATTTTGAGTTCTCTCAAATTAGAAGATTTTTAGTATCATGAATAAAGATAAACCTTTCAGAATTCTTCAAACTAAAATCTTTCAATTCTTTTCACTCGACCCTCCTCTATTTTCAAAGCATTCCCCTCCCTTTCCCTTGAAACTCTCAAACAAACCAAGTGATTGTTTTAAAACATTATTTTCAAAAGGTTCAAATTTCACCATATTTCGTTCATTCAAACAAAAGTAAAGTCTAAGAGCATTCACATCCATCATACTTAGGGGTGTTTGCGGTGCAGTTTTATCGCTAAAAATAATCTGAATTGCAAGAGAAAAAAGCATGCGATTTGGTTTGGTTCGGTTGACTTTTAAAAATAAAACTGAACTAAACCAAACCAATACAGTTTGAGTTGTGTTTAATCATTCATACATTACTAAATAACAACAAAATTTAGATAAAAACTTCTCATTCAATATACAAAAATCAGAATAGACACAAGTGGAATAAAAAATAAAGTAGTAGCATAAAATAATATAAAAATATTATAATAAAATAGAAAAAATAGAGGAGAGAAGAGATTAGAGAAGATGAAAAAGAAAGAATACAAGAGATGCAAGACTAGAGAAGAATGGTGCGATAAAAAAACAATTGAAGAGAAAACAGTAACATAAAAATGAGAAGATGAAAAGAAAGACCATAAGAGATGAGATATTAGAGTAGAAGAGGCGAGATGTACATAGCAAAGAAGATTAGAATAATGCACGATACTACTAGGAGAGATTTGAGAAGGTTGAAACAAAAACCCTAATTGAGTGTAAGAGAAAACTGTTCATAGTTGTAAGGTTAAGACATAATAGGTTTGAGTTTTGGGTTGGTTGTGGGATAAGTGAAATTTGAATTGTAACATAATGCGGTTTGATTTGGTTTAGTTCGGTTTTTAAAATACAAACTGCAAACCAAACCGAACCGCACGGTTTTGTTAAAAAATGATCCAAACACATTTGAACTAAATGCATTTTTTGCGATTTCAATGTGATTTGATTTGGTTTGTGATTTTCTATTGGGTTTGTTCGGTTTTGAACACCCCTAATCATATCCACTTGGGTTCTTTAAATAGATTTAACTGAATTTTTTATATTATTTTATACTTTTCAATTCTTTAAAAAAACTCAATTACATTTTTTTTTAAATATTCATCAATCCATCAAAAAAATTTAAATGGGTCCCACCAAATTCTACAATAACACACATTTATATAATATAACTGAAACAAATTAATTCAAATATATTAAAATATATCAAAAAATTAAAGTAAATGTATATTAAAAAAACACAATACATGACATAAATAATTTATTAAAAAATACATTAGAAAAAACATAAACGTTAAAATAAAGTAATAGCACAAAATACAAGAAAAATATATATTTAAAATATTTTTTAATTGTTGTTATTCTCCTTCCCATTGTCATATATGTTCTATCAAGTCTTGTTGAAGATGTCGATGAATTTGTTTATCACGAGCATCAAACCTTCTATGTAGGAACTCTTGAAAATCAATATTAGAATCATTCGACAATGTTGTCACGTCATTACTCAAATGATCATAAGAAAAAACAAAATTTCTATCATATGTGGCACGTTCATCTTTAATAATCATGTTGTATAATATGATCCACATGTTCATTATGCGTTAGAGTATGGTTAAGTGTCAATATCATGATCACAAATCGGGATCAGAGAACTCCAAATGTTTGTTCAATATCCTTTCTTGCCCATTCTTGATGGTAGACAAACAATTTTCTATTATCCCTTTGAGGCATCATGATACTTTTCACAAACATGATCCATTCAAGATAAATTCCATCTGATAGATAATATCCTTTGTTGTATTCAGTAAGATTGATTGTATAACGAACCTCTAGAGCTCTCCCTTGAAAAAACATCATTGAAGACATTTGATTGGTTTGACATATTAATATCGTTTTTTGAACTTGCTACCCAAAGAATGTATGTAAAATCCATAAGTGTTGTGAAGCCAATGCTTCAAGCATAACCGTTGGTTTCCCATGATCGCCTAAAACATACTGCTCTTTCAATGCAACTAGATAATTTTTTTATTCCCAATACATACGATAAATGCTCCCTAACATACCTAGAAATCCTCGTTCCTACTCCATTTGCATCAGGCGCTCGATCTCATCATTGTTTGGCCTTCACAAATATTGAGCCCCAAAGATTCTGATCACTCCCCTTGTAAACTTATCAACACATTTTAGTGTCGTGGTTTCACCAATTCTTAAGTAGCATCCACACTATCAGTAGATGTTCCATATGGTAACATACAGATAATAACAATGTATTTTTATAGCAGTGAAATACTTGATCTACCAGTTGCATCAACCCTCAATTAAAATTATTAATAGTGTTGGCTCAAAGCTTTAACAATACGTAGGAACACATGTTTATGCACTCAGTACCTTTGATGAAATTGCTCATTCAAGAATATTGGAGTTTGTGAAAAATAATCATTGAACAATCTATCATGTTTCTCTTCATGGTTCCTCTATATATTTCTTCTTTGAAGTTTAGGCCTTTTAGAGATCGAGACTTCCTCTTCTATAAATTACCTCACAAGTTCTTCATCCATATCATCATTCATAAAATCCATGAATATTTTTGCAATATGGGAAGGATTGAAAGGATCCATGTGAAAAGAAGTTTGATATTAAGTTGAAGATGATAACAAATTATAGATAATGAAAGAGTTTGACATGTTAATACTATTAATAGGATTAGTTTCTAACAACTAATTTGAATAACGACTAGTTTGAATAACTGTTAGTTTGACT